TCAGGAAAATGATATGGATGTACCCTTTTAGGGAGTTCTTATGGTTCTGAAGGATTGTTTTTGAAATATTATTTATTACTGATTTCCCAATAAATATGTATCAAATTCAGAGGGAAAAGCAATTAAAAAAATGTCCAATTTTTATAAAATATAGTCAAATTATTCAGTAAATTCTTGTGCTTTTTGAAAATTTTAAATAAGTTCTTATGGTTTAAAATTTATAATGTAATCTTTGCAGTTTTAATTTTTTAAAATAATTAAGGTAAAAAATGCTAAACGATAAGATGAATTTGGGGACTCAATTAAATATTTTTTAAGGGAACTATAAATTTTATACTATACAAAGATTCGAGTTTGAAAAACGGGGGGGGGGGGGGGGGGGGGGGGGGGGGAATGATTTTTCTAAAGAAATACCTAATGAGTTCAAACTCAATCAAATATTAATTGTTCACCTGAGATGTGCCTAAATGCATACATGTTAAGTACGGCTTGACCTTAGCAAAGTAGAAGGGGGAGAGAGACAGATATTTGAATAAAAGTTATGAGTTCAATTCATAGTAATATTCCTTGACATTTAAAAAATAGTAATAATAATAATAATACACGTTAGGTTATGTTGTACCTAATATAAAGAGAAGTTCCAGGAGATATAATCTTTGAAAACACAAATATATTGCTTTACTTGATAAGTTAATAAACTTGATTACAATACGGATTTCCTTGACACGATGTCCCTCAACTTGCATGAATGAGGATCCCAGTCATCCCACAAATTAAAGGCCATTGCAAAATACAAGATTTTGGTGTCTCAATTAACGGAAGCTAGTTCGTACGTTAACTGTATATAGATCCTCTCTAACGTAATCTTGAACACAATCTTCAGTTTCTTTTCTTTTCTTTTTCTCAGTGTCCAGTTTGATTCACCCCAGACGTTGAGGGGAGGACATAATTGGGGCCAAATTGGTGAACGTGGCCACCACGTGTGCCTGCAATTCTGGAGTAAAACCTTACATATCAAACCAAAAATCTTTTATATATGTACACCGTAACAACAAATAGTTAAGTGTGCCTGTCAAATAATTGCACACCTATATCCGTTGTTTTTTTTTTTTTTTTTTTTTTTTTTACAATTTCTATTGTTTGTGAGACACACCTTTCGCGCATGTACCATAAGGGCACACCCCAACAAAAACTTTTGGTCTGGCTAGAAAAAGCACTGTGTACTTTTATTCGTAATATGACTTATTAAGCTATGGTTATTAATTCCTTGTTATGAACTTCGGACATATCACCTATTATAATTAATCAAGAAGGCATGCTCTTAAAATATAAAGCATAAAAGAAACATAATTAATTATAATAGGTGATATGTCCGAAGTTCATAATTAAATATAAAGCATAAAAGAAACATAATTATAATGAGGTTTAGAATCATTTGTAGGCTACAACCCCAATCATGCTTCTCATTTGTGATTAATTAATTTATTGTGTTTCATTTGTTTCTGTGCCACAGAACAAGAATCTGAGCTCAATGGTTCTTAACAGGCGACACGCCTACTTCAGAAAGAATCAACGCATTAGTTTGACAATTATCACCAGCCATAGATATAGATAGATTTACATAAAATGAAAGGCCACAGCATAATTAGTCATATGACAGTAGGATATTCTTACACCGCTATAAAAAATATTATAAATTTTACACTAAATCTGAATTATTGACATCTAATAGCTCAAATATCTAGTTAAATATAAATAAGATAAACATTAATCAAGATTAAGAGTGCAATTTACACCGGTGTAAAATGATCTTGACTTATATATATATATATATATATATATATATATATATATATATATATATATATATATATATATACGAGGAAAGATATTCTTACACCGATGTAAATATAAGAAGTCTCACCAAATTTTGGTCATTGATTTGCTTGAATCTAGCGACTTAAATATCTAATAAATCAGAACCGTTAGATATAAATATAATCAACGATCAAGATTGAGAGTGTAACTTACTACCATTTTTTCTTACCACCTCTTACTATCAACTTTATTATCGTTGGATTAAAATAAAATCAACGGCTCTTACTTGATGTTATTGGTGGTAAGAAAAAATGGTAGTAAGTATAACCTATCACACACACACACACACACACACACACACACACACACACACACATTAGTGCAAGAATAAGAAGTCTTATACCAAATTTGAATAATTTATTTACTTGCATCTAACGGCTCCAATATCTAACAAATCATAACCGTTAGAAATAAATATGATCAACGATGAGGATTTAGAGTGTAACTTTACCGACATTAGTGCAAGAATAAGAAGTCTTATACCAAATTTGAATAATTTATTTACTTGCATCTAACGGCTCCAATATCTAACAAATCATAACCGTTAGAAATAAATATGATCAACGATGAGGATTTAGAGTGTAACTTTACCGATGTAAAATGATCTTGACCCACTATATGTGTGTGTGTGTAGGGCAGGATTCTTTGACACCAGTGTCAAACTTTGAAATTTGACACTAAATCCTAACCGTTGATTTCTGCCAATCAACAGTTATGATTTTTGTCAATCAAACTTATGAATTAATTATTAATTCTCAATAAATGATAATCGTTGATTGGTGAAAATCAACGGTTAGAATTTGGTGTAAAAATTTAAAGTTTGACATCGGTGTCAATGTATCTTGCCTCGTATATATATATATATATATATATATATATATGGGATTCATGTTTCTCATGTTGTAGGAGATAAAATTATCTCCTACACACACATAAAAGTATGTGAAGTCAATATTGGGTTATATAAAGAGAAGAGAGAGAAAAGAAAATATGGGTCTCACACGTATGTTGAATAAAGTGTTACAACATAAATCCTCCTATTATCGGAGATCAAGTATCGTCACTTTCAGTAATATATGCTGATTTAATATGTATTATCGTTACTAGGATTGACTTAGTAGTGAGAGGTTTGGATAGTTTATATAAGGTTATAGGTTTAGACCTCATTGCCACCATTGTATTAAAAAAAATATGTATTATGTGCGTTATGCATGGCTATTGTATTGATTGACAATTCAATCTATATAGAAAATAATTCCGATTGATATGTAACATTTTTTTTCTTAATTTTATATAGAGAAGAATGAATTCACTTCATTAAAACAAAGGGGTTAACCAAATGATTGTAGCTCAGTTGACGCCATGGAACTGAGCAGGTGAGAGTGAGGTGAGGGTGAGAGCATGTGTTCTGTAACGCCTGATAACTTGCAAGGATCAACGACTATCCCCACACACTAACACAAGAGTTTTCAGCGTACTTTGTCCTTACTTGCACACTTCCCGAAAAAACTTCCTAAGAGGTCACCCATCTAAGAATTGTCCCAAGTCAAGCACGCTTAACTATGGAGTTCTTTCGTTCCGGGCTACCGAAAAGTAGATGCATTTTGTTAGTATAGGTAGTACCAATTAATTCTTATAAGCTATTCCCAACTGTACCGTCCCATACCAGCACAGTCTCTGGAATCCCTCTCTTTCGGGTGTTGATTCGATTCATTCATGTACCCCCATCACTGGAAGCCTGTCAGGAGCCGTTCCTTGTCCATGCCCTTTCGCACCCGCGATCACTCTCTGCCCCCGTCAGCGCTCGGGATGTTACATGTTCAATCCTCCTCAATACAATCTTTGGAAAGGGTTTAAAGCCTTAATCCTGTGACCCGCCCCGAATCGAACTAGTCGTGAAACGATAAATCGATTGGAATATCTAAAAAAAAAAACAAGGGAGTTACACTTCTCATGTTATAGGAGAAGAGTAACTCTTCAAGGAGACACATAGTTTAAGTGGGTTCCACCATAAAAAAAAAAAGCACTTGGAACGAAAAATGAACTCAGAGTGACATGAGAAGATGATTTTGTAGCAACATGATAACTATTTTTGTCTTAAAACAAAAGGTTTTATACTTCTTATACAACATAAGAAGAGAATTTTTATAGCACACACATATTTTGGTGGGCCCACTGGAAAAAGTAAATAAAAAAATTAAAACGCAAAATGATGTGAATATAGCATGAGGAAACTCTTCTCATATTGCATAAGAAATATAAACCCTAAGACAAATGCCGTAGAAAGTTAGAGAGTTTAGTTTGAAGTAATGTATTCCTGATTAATGATCAATTATATTGGAAGTAATTTTTTTTTCCCTTAGGCATCCACGTACGAGTTCACTCGGGAAAAGAACTACTTGAGTTTCGAATCTTTTTTTATCGATCCTGAGTGGATCATCGATCTAAGACGAATTATACCTGGTGCTAAATCCAAAGATAAATATTGCAGTTCATCTGCAATTAATGATGATCTTTTCTTAATAGAAGGGTATCACAATTAATTCAATAGAAACAATAGAATTATATTTTATCAATACAAAGAAAGTTGCATAAAGTATACCTTTCTTTGTTTAATTTTCCTTAGGAAAATAACACTCACAACTACTCTATAGATTTATCCATGTCTGGGTGTGCATGCGGTTCAGTTATAAATAAAATGCTATATGCTATACATACTAAATACATATAAGTTGAGGGAGGAAAAAACATGGATATAATTGAAGTCGTAACTCGTAGAAAAATAGAATTAATGAGACCATATCATTAGGTCTGATATTAAAAATAATAATTTAAAATGATAATTAATTGATTCACCCTTGTGTGTGAAATGATGGAAACCCTAGCTAGGAGACTAATAAAGAAAGTGGTAAGCAACCAACATGGGATGTGTCGACTTGGACTTCTTCTTCCACTCAACAATCATAGGAAGATAACATCACCTTGTCGTCACCAAGCCCAGCAAGCACAGGAAATTCCAGCTCACACATTTCTTCCACGTGTCAGAAACCGATTCCTGCTAAAACTTGATTAAAAAGACAGAGCGCACCATGTGTCCTTGTGTTAATGCCCACCACGCCCAAAACGCTTCGATCCCCTCCTTAAACATTTCTCTGTCCTTCCCTGCCCCTATTATTAATTGGCACAGAGCAACCAAATCAAATTACTCAATGCTTAGAGAGAGAAAGAGTGATAGATAGAAAGATAGATATAAGAGAGTGAAATTAAAAACTCATGGAGGTTGGACTGATGAAGAAGGAGAATATGGGGTTTGAGGAAACTGAACTGAGGCTTGGATTGCCTGGAAACGGAACCACAGCCACTGAAGAAGTAGTAAGGAAGAGAGGATTCTCTGAGACTGAAACTGATGAGACAATAACCACAGTGGATTTTATGCTTAATCTTTCATCTAAGGAAGCAACTTCTGGGTCAGATCTAAGTCATAAGCACAACACTTTGCCTAATGAGAAAACCCTTCTGCCTGCAGATCCTGCCAAGCCTCCAGCCAAGTAAGTATATTTAATTGTACTCTTAAATATTAATATCATGCTTTTATATATAATATAATATAAGAAAGATGGGGTTTCTTCTTAATTTTCTAGCTAGTTGTAACTTTCATGATCTTCATTAGAATTTCTAAGCATGTAAACATAGCTTTATACTGCCATATATTAATTCATGGTATGTTTAAGGCTAAGCATGTGAATTTTTTATGCTTGCACGAGAAAGAGGTAGAAACGGAGGTGAATTAGTTTAGATCATGCAAGTTTGAAACAAATGAAAGACGCTGAAATATAGATTTGTGACAGAGAGATAGAGAGAGATTATATATAGAAAAAAGGGTGTTTTTTTTTTTTTCTTTTTCTTTCTCAAAAAGAAATATTATGTTTATTTCTTCTATAACACACGACAGAAAATTCTAGACGTCTTCAGTCAACTCTCCTGCAACATAAATATAGAATCACGGATTTCGTGCTTGAAATGTGTTCTACGTGCCTAGCCAGTTATAGAGAAAATGCCAATAATCTAAAGTTATTTCTGCTAGTTTTGATGATGTGTTAAACACCACAGAAAAGTCATATTTTTCTTGTCCTAGTCAGTCATAGTATGATATCTTCTTTTGTAGATTCTTTTACAAGTATAGGTCATGTAAAATACTGGATGAGTTCAAACTGCACTAGTAAATAATTAAGCAAATTTAAATATATCGATGCTTATCTATTTATATGCAAAGGATAAAAAAGAGGATTGAATTAGTGTAAAATAGAAACAGGTTTACGTGCTTAATATTTATTTTTTGAAGTAAAGCTACATGGCTTTCAGTGATCACCAACTATATTTTTTAGCTTTATTTATATAACCATATATAAATTCAAATGAAATGGAATGTGTAGGGCACAAGTGGTGGGTTGGCCACCTGTCCGGTCCTTCCGGAAGAACATGTTGGCTGTGCAAAAAAGCGTTGGAGAGGAGAGTGAGAAGAACAACCCTAATGCAAGCTTTGTTAAAGTTAGCATGGATGGAGCACCTTACCTCCGCAAAGTGGACTTGAAGATGTACAAGAGTTACCAAGACCTCTCCGATTCTTTAGGCAAAATGTTCAGCTCCTTCACCATTGGTAAATTAAGCACAATTTTTTTTTAGGGAAAACTATATACTTTAAAGAAGAAGGATATAAGCTTACGTCCTTTCACCCCTTTATAATTATGTAGTCCAGAAAATACATAGTTAAAATATTAAATGTTTTTTTTTTTTACTCTTTCATAAATTTTTTAGAAACTTGTCGGCTAACATGGAGAAAGAGAAAAAAATAATTTCATATTGTAATTACGTACTCTCTGGAATACATAATTATAAGGACCGAAAGGACATAAGCTTATATCCTTTAAAAGAACGCACACTAAACCCATTTTTGTATGGGTCTATACCTTTAAAATAAATTAAAAAAAAAACACTTGAGTGAAATAATATACAGCCCTAAAAATGGAACTTAAGTTCAATTTCTTAAAAAGGGAAATTAATTAGTCTTCCATATGCATATCTAACGTTAGAATTAGCTTTGACTAATGAATCAGGTCATATTGATGATATTGATTACTAATTAATGCGTGTTCTTGATACATGTAAGGCAATTGTGGATACCAAGGAATGAAAGATTTCATGAATGAGAGTAAGCTGATGGATCTTTTGGACAGCTCTGATTATGTCCCAGCCTATGAAGACAAGGATGGTGACTGGATGCTTGTCGGGGATGTCCCATGGGAGTAAGTGTTTCACCTTTACATAATCTAAAATGAATTTGGCCACGATAATTGTACCTTGTAACAGGAGAACAAAAAATTGGGTCTCAATGGTTGTGTCAAAAATGCCTCCTTTTGTGATTCTATGCCAAATTATCTTATTGTTTGTTTTTGTTATTATTGATATGCACAAAAAATATCTGAAAATATAAAATGTGTATTTTGATGATAAGTCCAATTCGGTATAAACACTAATAGATTAATAAACCGCATGAATATTAATTTCAAATTTACCCTTATTAAACTTTCTAATTGGAACCACTTGAGTATTATAAGGGCTAACCTAACTGCAAGTTATATATAGCACAGACTTTGTATAATAACACGGATTTTCTTCCTGTCAACCAGGATGTTTGTTGAATCATGCAAGCGTTTACGTATCATGAAAGGAAAGGAGGCTATTGGTCTTGGTTAGTATCAAGTCTTTAAATTACTATTTGCAAGAAAGAAATCCTATTAATCAGTCATGATTTCATTTATAAACCTTTTATTCAGCCATGAAATATATGTACATATATACATAATCAATTCTACTGATCTTATTTAGAAGCACATTCTAAAAAAAAAAACGTTTTTATTATTTCAGCACCAAGAGCTATGGAGAAATGCAAGAACAGGAGCTAGACTAGTCATACCAGTTCATGACCTACTCATCCTTTTTAGTTGTGGTGCTTAGTTGGCTTAGTAACAAAAGGAAGGATAAGCTGCCACAGAGACAGATGGATATAGCATGGTGTTAAATTATAGTTGATTTGTGTATCATTATGGTTTGTTATATAATATTTCAAACAAAACAATGAGAAGTCTAAGTATTAATTATGAACAGAAACAATAATGCCTCTAAATTATGCTGTTAGACTTGGCTATCTTATATATCGATCTTTGCTTGTTTTGTGTGAGTGCTTGCTTAATAATAATTTTAAAAATGTGCTTGTCTGTTGTAGCGATTGATATTTTTCATGCTCTACATTTAAAATTGTCTTCTAAAGTTTTTTCTTTTCATAATGTGATTCCATGGCAATAATCAGTTCTTATATAATAATAAAATTGTATTTACACTTACGTTAGTTTTTGTTTTGAATCAAGAACCGATCGAATAGATAATGGAAATGTTCCCTGAACATGGTAGATGGGGAAACAAGAACATGTGCGTGTTCATGGAGCATTTATGCATGCCCATTGAAATAGGTTCTTTAATTTATTATTATATTCCGTCCAAGATATTGGTGTCTAATTTTCCATATAATTTATATATACTCTGTATGTGAATAGTGGTGTGTTTGACAAACTTTTAAAAGCTGATGGGGATAAAATATTAGTGCAAAAGCATCCAGACGCGTAAATGGCCCCTCATAATTAGGGGAATTGTAGCAGTTGGTAGATTTAAGTTATGCATGGTTACAACTTGTTCTTAAAAAAAAATTAAAAAAAAATAGCGTTTACAAATATATATATATATATATATATATATATATATATATGATAAAATTATTTCTCCAACCACTCGATGTCCAACAATGATAAGTGTATGATTATAATTCCCCTCATTTAATTATGTCACCTATATATATGGCAAATAATTAACTGTTGGACGTCAAGCGGCTGGACAAATGTAAACCTATATATATATATATATATATATATATATATATATATATATATATATATAGGGTAAAGTTCACCAATCTCCCTGTGGTTTGCTTCAGAATCACCTATGTCCCTGTGGTTTTTTTTTTATCACATATGTTCATGTGCTTTGTAAAAAATAAAAAACCACAGGGGCATATGTGATAAAAAAATACCCTTTTGCAAATCACAGGGGCATATGTGATAGAAAAAACCACAGGGGCATAGGTGATTCTGAAGCAAACCACAGGGGCATTGGTGGACTTTTTCCATATATATATATATATGAGACATGATCCTTTGACTGTGTGTGAGGTACGTAGGATATTCTTACGCAGTTGTAAGAATAAGAAGTCTTACACCAAATCTTGATCATTGATATATTTGCTTGCATTTAAAGGATTAAATTTGTAATAAATCAGAACCATTAGACATAAATATAGAATAAATGGTCAAGATTCAGAGTGTAAATTACACCGATAGAAAATGATCCCAACTATATATATATATATATATATATATATATATATATATATATAAGGTAGGTTCTTTTGACACTGGTGTCAAATTTGAAGTTTGACACCTCATCTGAAGTTTGACACCGGTGTAAGAGTTAGAAGTCTTACACTCAATCTTGATCATTGAACCACTTGTATCCAATGACTCATATTACTAAAAAATTTGAACCATTAGATATAAGTGAGATTAACGGACAAGATTAAGAATGTAACTCACATTGGTGTAAAATGATCCTAACCCATATATATATATATATATATATATGTATGTATGTGTGTGTGTGTGTGTGTGGGATACGATCAACTTATACCGGTGTAAGAACAATAACCCTTCGTCAAATCTTAACCGTTGATTTTTGTGAATCTAATGGTTCTAATTGAATAAGAATTAATAATTAATAAATGTGATTCAATAAATTATATATATATATATATATATATATATATATATATATATATAATATGATCAATTTATATCGGTTTAAGAATAATAAGTCTTACATCAAATCTTAATCGTTGATTTCCGTGAATTTAACGGTTATAATTTATTGAGTCACATAATTCTGAATAAATTATAACCATTAGATTCACAAAAATCAACGGTTAAGATTTGGCGTAAAAGTTATTATTCTTACACTGGTGTAAGTTGATCCTATATCATATATATATATAGGGCTTTTTGTTTCTCAAGTTGCTTGAGATAACTTTATCTCCGGCCACTAAATCATAATCGTATAAAGATGGATCAATGGTGATAAAGGAAGAGAGAAAAAAGAAATCATAACCATTCAAAGCTGAATCAATAAATATAAGAAAATAAATAAACAAAAAGACGTAGTTTTGGGCTGGCCGGAGATAAATATATCTCAAACAACTTGAGAAATATTGTTCTCATATATATATATATATATGTATATATATAGGATCAATTTATATCGGTGTAAGACCAAATCTTAGCCGTTAATTTTCGTGTGTCTAACGATTATATTTTATCAGAAATTAATAATTAATTAATGTATGACCCAATAAATTACAACTGTTAAATTTACGAAAATCAACTAGTAAAATTTATTATTCTTACGCATAATTTTTTTTTTTAGGTAACAAAGGAGGGCCTTAGCCTAAAAAAACACAAAAACTAAACAGATTCTAATGTCTGGAACCTATCACTAGTCTCCAACATAGCTTCAACTATTCCATTTGCATGAGCATCAAGTAATGTCTTGATCTCATCAGGAGGTGAATTGAGCACAAGTATGTTTATCTGATGGCAATTCTACAGACTATTCTTTGCTAGCCAATCCGTCGGTTTATTAGCCTCACGTATGATGTGCTTGATTCCAATATCTCTTTGAGTCTTAAGGAGCTTCTTGATCTTATAGTAATTTGCAGATCACTCTTTTGATCACTAGTTGATGAGACATTTGCCACAGCTTCCTTTGAGTCTGACTCAATGGTCACATTCTTATAGTTCAGTCTCCTAACAAGAAGGATGCCTTGATAAATAGCCCACAACTATGCTTCTAAACTGCTGCACTTCCCAACATAATAGACAAAGCCACTTAACCACATTCTCGTATCATCCCAAATTAGACCTCTGCAAGCACCAATACTATTATGTCTACCAACAGCTCCATCCACATTGATTTTAAAGTAACCTATTTGATCCAACCCTCACTATGATTATGAACTGCACTCGCTGAATTTCGCGGGATAGATTCAAAATAAGCATTATGAATGCTCTGTATGACCTCCAAGATGCAAATCTTGGGTTTATCGGGTCTCTTGAATTCACTATCATGAATATCAACATTTCTCCATTTCCACAGGAACCAACAAGATGCATAGAATATGTCTCTCCAATTCTTGCTCCATCTTCCCTGGCCTTGAGCTCTGATGTTGAGGTTGAACCAATTATACCAATGCTGTTACGGAAACTCCTAGGAACTCTGCCTTCCAACCATTCACTCCAAAGCTTCTTTGCACGCTTGCAGTCTCTAAGAACATGCATGAGGGATTCTGTTTGGCCTGGACAAGATGGGCAATCTTGTGTCCCCTCACCCCACTTAGATGTTCTTTCTCGAGTTGGTAATCTGTTAAGAATAGCTAACCACATAAAAATAATAATTCTTTGAGGTTCTTTCCTGTAACATCTTGGGTGCTAACGAGGACGGGGATTGATCGCCGGTGTGCAAGGGCACGGACAAGGAGCACTTCTGGCAGGCTTCCAGCGGTGGGGTACATGAATGAATCGAATAACACAGTAAGGAGAGGGATTCCAGAGATTGTGCTGGTATAGGACAACACACCTAAGGATAGCTTATAAGAATTAATTGGTACTACCTATACTAACAAGATGCATCTACTTTTCGGTAGCCCGGATGGAAGAACTTCATAGTTAAGCATACTTGACTTGGGGCAATTCTGGGATGGGTGACCTCCTGGGAAGTTTTCCTGGGAAGTGTGCGAGTGAAGAAAAAGCACACTGAAAAGTCTCGTGTTAGTATGTGGGGATATTCATTGATTCTTGAAGCGGTCAGGCGTTACAAGTGGTATCAGAGCAGGGCCTCTCATCCAGTACGGTGTGGGTTCGAGGACGAACCAGGCGGAAGCTGGTGGGCATGTAACATCCCGGGTGCTGACGAGGGCGGGGAGTGATCGCCGGTGCACAAGGGCACGGACAAGGAGCGGCTCCTGGCAGGCTTCCAGCAGCGGGGGTACATAAATGAATCGAAAAACACCAGAAAGATAGGGATTCCAGAGATTGTGCTGGTATAAGACAACACAACTAAGGATAGCTTATAAGAATTAAATGGGACCACCTATACTAACAAGATGCATCTACTTTTCGATAGCCTAAAACAGAAGAACTTCATAGTTAAGCGTGCTTGACTTGGGGTAATTCTGGGATGGGTGACCTCCTGGAAAGTTTTCCTGGGAAGTGTGCGAGTGAGAAAAAGCACACTGAAAAGTCTCGTGTTAGTATGTGGGGATAGTCATTGATTCTTGAAGTGGTCAGGCGTTACATTCCACTGCTAAAGCGCTGTCCAAATTGGAGCATTTTGTGCTGGTTCTCCAATAATATTGTGGTATGCATGGTGAACAATGGACTCACTTCTAGCCAGCCTATTCCAATGAAGAAAGTCAGGTTCCTCGTCCTCGCAGGGGGGAAGAATGGCCCTGATACTCCTCAAAGAATCTTCCCCAAGATATTTGGAGAAGTAATCCAACTTCCAATCATTGGTGTTACAATCAACACAATCCCGAACTGTTAACTGGAGCTCAAAAATAGGGGAGTGTGAAGTGTGAAATCAAGAAGAACTCCATCATTCCGACACCACTTATCCGTCCAAACAAAGGTGGTATAGGACAGAAATAACACCAGAAAGAGAGGGATTCCAAAGATTGTGCTGGTATAGGACAGCACAACTAAGGATAGCTTATAAGAATTAATTAGTACTAACTATACTAACAAGATGCATCTACTTTTTGGTAGCCCAGAACGGAAGAACTTCATAGTTAAGCGTGCTTGACTTGGGGCAATTCTGGGATGGGTGTCCTCCTGGAAAGTTTTCCCCGGAAGTGTGCGAGTGAGGAAAAAGCACACTGAAAAGTCTCGTGTTAGTATGTGGGGATATTCATTGATTCTTGAAGCGGTCGGGCGTTACATTTCCACTGCTAAAGCGCTGTCCAAATTGGAGCATTCTGTGCTGGTTCTCCAATAATATTAT